GCCACCCGAAGGTTGCAGGAACAGCAACTCATATTCCGCTTGGGAACCCTGCAGCCCAATGGTATCAATGTGGATTTCACAAGTTTCAAAATCTCCCCTCCCCCCACCGCATCCCAAAACCAGTCCAGCTCGTCCCTGCCTCCCTAACCTGTTCTTCCTCCCACCTATCCCCTCCTCCCACCTCAAGCCGCACCTCCATCTCCTACCGACCAACCTCATCCCGCCCCCTTGACCTGTCCGTCCTCCCTGGACTGACCTATCCCCTTCCTAACTCCCTACCTACACTCACCTTTCCTGGCCCCATCCCCGCCTCTTCGACCTGTTTGTTTCCTCTCCACCTATCCTCTCCTCTATCCCTCTTCTATCCGCCTCCCACTCTCTCCCTATTTATTTCAAAACCCCCTTCCCCTCCCCCTTTTCTGATGAAGGGTCTAGGCCCGAAACGTCAGCCTCTCTGCTCCTATGATGCTGCTTGGCCTGCTGTGTTGTTAAACTTGAGAGGGTGCAGAAAGGATTTACAAGGATATTGCCAGGATTGGAGGGTTTGAGTTATAGGGAGAGGTTGAGTAGGTTGGGGCTTTTTATTTTGGAGTGTTGGAGGCTAAGGGGACATCATGGAGGTTTATTAAATCATGAGGGGCGTGGATAGGGTAAACAGACTTTTTCCCAGGGTGGGGAAGTCTAAAACTAGAGAACATAGGTTTAAGGTAAGAGGGGAAAGATTTAAGAAGGACCTGAGGGGTAACTTTTTTTCTTGCAGAGGGAGGTGCATCTGTAGAATGAACTGCCAGACAAAGTGGTGGAGACTGGTACAATTGCAACATTTAAAAGGCATCTAAATGGGTATATGAACAGGAAGGGTTTAGAGGGATATGGGCCAAATGCTGGCAAATGGGACTGGGTCAGATTGGGATGTCTGGTAGCCGCTGATGAGTTGGACCAAAGGATCTGTGTCCGTGTTGTTTGGCTCTGACTCTATAGCTATGAGAAGGAAGCCTTCAGTTTAACAGTGACTGTCAAACACTTTGAGATTTATATCACAAAGGGGTATAGAGAGACCACAGGTTATACTGACCACAAGCCATTCACGATTGTGGTAAGGTTTACAATACTATTCACTGGAGCTTGTTCCTTCAACATAAAAGTCAACCACCAGGAAATTGGATTGCAGAGGCCCTGTCCATAACCTTGAAAGACTCGGTTAGAACTGAAGAGTTAGAATTGACCAAGAGTACAGGAGCGAATGTGTCTTTTTTTAATGTTACTTTCCAATTTTTTTTTCCTACATTTTTGTAATGAGATGAGAATGAATTAGTCATTTTGCAAGGGAAATGTCGTGACCATGGATCATAAGACTGGTCACCCATGGGCATAAAAAACTTTTAATTACAACAAGTTGCTGTTACAACAACATTTTTCTCAAGATGACTGATTCAGACAAAAATGTAAATCCAACGACTATCTGAGGAGATTTCTGAAATGTCACATCTGGAACTATCAAAGTAGCTTCAAAGGGAGAAATATATTACAAACTGAACTGTACTCCCTTGTGACTACCTTAGACTATGAACACGATGGGTTTAATGTCAGTGATTGGGGCAAAAAGTACCGTTGCATTTCCCCTTTCAAGAATATACAAGGATGGGGATTAAAGCAAGTCTCACCCTGTTCTATATGTATCAATAGGCTGAGACTCTTATGTGTATGAATGGGTTGAGCTATTTGTGTGAACTGATGTGGGTTTGAGAATTGGTGGAGTGTGAAAGTCACAGATGAAGAAGCATCCACTAGTCACCCCTACATTTCAAGTAAAGGAAGTCTCTCTTTGAGCACTGGAAACTAGTTAGCAAACCAGTTCAAAAGGAAATAGGACAAAAGAATTTTGGCCAACTGCAAAGCCAGGAATTTCAAAATCAACTGCTCAATTCTCAGTGTTCCACTATTTACGCCTCATGCATGACTTAGAGACTGATCTGTATATCTTTAACTTCTACCTTTTATTGGACTCATTTCTTCTGTCATCACCTCATGTTTAGAAACTAATAAACTCGCTCTTTTGTTAATTCAAAAAAAGCCTTGTTAAACTGGCCCCTTTTCAAACCTGAAGTTCTTTTGTCTGGGAGAAAGGCCTTCATGAAGGAAGGGGTCCTTTCTTAAATTCACCTTGTTGCATCCAACAGAGGGGACTGATAAATAAAATGGGGGGACAGTTTATTTGTCCTTACTTGGGACTTTGACAATTTGGGACATCCATGTGGAACTGTAATAAATTAGGGAATCTCACCTGGGGACAGGTCGCAATAATTTACAGAGCCTCAGAACTGGGGGCCAAAGGTTGGAGGATGTTTGAGGAGAGGAGATTGTTGCCATAGCAGGGAAACAGAGTTTAGGCACTGGGGACTCCAATAACCTTCAAAACATAAGTAAACAAACATATCATACCATACCATATATAGACTCATACTCACCGTGGATTTCATCTTGAGTGAAAAATTTAGCCTGTAATTGGAACAACAAAAGTTATTGCTTTGCGTTTCCACATTAAGAATTATTTTGAAAGCACTGGGTTTCTCCTGTTGTATTTTTACCATTTTTTCTTTTGCTTCCTCCCTGTTTTCCTTTTCCCTTTAACGATGTGTTTGCCTCTCTAGTTGCAATCCAGTACAGCTTGCCCTAAACTCCATCTATCTGATTATAGGCTAAAGTCCACCAATCCACACTGAATAATGTTTGGTGGATGCAATAAATATCCTGGTCACTATGGTTACAGGATCAGGCTTCCCACAGGGTCAGATTCCAGCTAACAGCTGTTAATCTATCTTACAGGCATGCGCACAACCACAGGAACATACACCCACAGGAACAAACACACACAGGAACACGCACACAGGAACACATGCATGCAGAACATACACAGGAACAAACATACAGCGACATGACATAGTCACACATACACACACATACACAGGAATATAGACATACACGCACAGAGGTGACAGATACACACACAGGCATACACAGGGCTAAAGACACAAATGCACATAAATTCACAGCAACATAGACACACAGAGGAACAAATACACACTTAACACACAGGAACAAGCAAACACATGCACAGAACACACAGATAAACATAGGCACACATACGCACACATACAAACATGCACATAGGAATAAGAACACAGGAATAAATACTTATGTTCACACACAGGAACATACACACACACACAAAAACACACGCACACAAACAAACACACACCATCCCACACCCACACATACATATACACACATGCATTCATACACACACACCCTTACACACCTAAGTTTCAAACGAGGTTAAGTTTGCATTTTCTCTATTATGTTTAATCAGCTTTGTCTCCAGTTTTGCCCTTTCTCTCCTGACCTGTGAACCTTGTGGCTACATTTCCAGACATGCCTCATCCAAATAACTAGTACTGAGCTACAATCTCGGGCATTAAATTCTGGAGTTTCTGCTGGAGCTGTTCCTGAACTGGATGGTGGATTGTAATGAAATGCTTAAAATTATTTTTGTGTAACAGCAGCTGGGGGCAGGCAGGCTCATGACTCCTTGGCAACAAGAGTTGCTAGGGACAGCTAAAGGGCCATTTAATTTATAACGGGTCAGCAAGTGAATGATCTCATCACAGGACAGCTAACTGTACAGGCTAAGAGACTTTAAAAAAAACACTTACATTAAAAATATTTCTTTGTCCAACAAAATTAGAAAAGACCGCATTTTTATAAAACCTTTCACAACCTCAGGTCATCTCACAGCTAAATGGTTTAATGCCCAATGAAGCAGTTTTGAAATGTAACTACTATTGTAATGTGGAAAGTGTGGCAGCAAACCTGCACACAGAGAGATCCCACAAACAGCAAACACTGGTTTTAATGATGTTGACTGGCGGACAAATATGGGTCAGGATACTGGGAGCACTCAACAAAAAAAGACCAAGGAACTGCTGATGCTGGAAATCAGAAATAAAAACAGAAATTGCTGGAAAAACTCAGCAGGTCTGGCGGCATCTGTGCAGAGAAAGCAGAGTTAAAATTTTGGGTCCATTGACCATTTTTCAGATCTGATTGTAGCGAGAAAAGGATTGGTATATATGCTGAAGATGAGGTGGAGGGGTACAGGAGTAAACAGTGGGTGGAGATGGAACCTGGAGAGATGTTGGCCAGGGAACACAGTGGTGTGTTGAAATGGCAGGCAACTGGAAGCTCAGGGTCATTTTTACAACAGAATGTAGATGTTCTGAGAAGTGGTCACCCAGTCTATGCTTTGCTTCTCCAATGTAGGGGAGACCACATTGTGAGCAGAAAATGCAGCAGACTAGATTGAATGAAGTGCAGGTAAAGTGCTGCTTCACCTGGAAGGTGTGTTTGGGGCCTTGGATACTGGGGAAGGAGGAAGTAAACAGGCAGGTGATACACCTTTTTAAATTGCAGGGGAAGGTGCTGTAGGGTTGTTGGGGGCAGGTGTTGGGAGTGGAGGAAGAGTGGATCAAGGTGTCATGAAAGGAATGGTCCTTACAGAAGGTGGTCAAGGGAGGGGTGGGGAAAATGTGTCTGGTGGTGCCATCCTGCAGAAGATGCAGAAAATGGTGGCCAATGATCCCTTGCATTTGGATGCTTGTTCCCTGACCAACATCTCTGTCTCTGGCTTGCTGTGGTGCTCCAGCGAAGCTCAGCGCAAGCTGGAAGAACACTTCATTTTCCACTTGGGGACCCTGCAGACCTCTGGACTCAGTATTGAGATCAACAATTTGAGGGCTTGAGCACCTTTCCCCATGTTTTCCCTCAGCCCCACATACCAGGCCTTGTCATCACATGGGCTGCTACCATTCTCAGTCACTAATGGTTCCCCTCAGCAGCTATTCATTCTCCCAGGCTGAGCTTTAACCTTTAACTTTGTCTGCCCAGTTGTTTCTCTCTCTCGCTGGGCTCCACCTCCACCTATTGTTTACTTCCCCTGCCTCTGCCCCCACTTCTTCAGCGTATTTATCAACCTTTCCCTAGCTACAATCGGTTCTGAAGTAGGCTCACTGGACCTGAAACATTAACTCTGCTTTCTCTCCACAGACGCTACCAGACTTGTTGCATTTCTCCAGCAATTTCCATTTTTGTTTTAGTGCTGGGAGCACTGTCCTGCTCTCCTTTCAATTTTGCCATGGGATCCTTCTTACCCACCTGAAGCCTTGGTTTAATGTCTCACCCAAAACACGGCATCTCCAACAGTGCAGCATCCCCTCACTGGTGCACAGTGGGAGTGTCAGCTTAGTTCACTTGCCTAATCTTTGGAGTTGAATTTATGCCCTTCTTGCCCCTTGGGCTTCCTGGTCAAGTTGTACTGAGGTCTGTTGCTACAATATAGTCGGTTCTGCTTTAACGCATGTTTCAATGCGAATTGGCTTTGACGTGGTTGAAGAATTTAGACCACTATTTGCAGAATGCAAACTTTCCTTACCTTTATTGGCTACAATGTGATTCCAGCCCCATTTGTTTAAATGGCACTGCTATTGCGCGATATTCTTATAACTCAAGATCGCAACTATTGCGTTATATCAGAACCGACTGTAATGACTAATGACCAATGACCACTGACCACCTCCACCCCTATTATCCCATCCCACCCATAGAAACATAGGAGCAGGAGGAGGCCATTCAGCCCTATGAGCCTGCTCCACCATTCATCATGATCATGGCTGATTGGTAACTCAGTGCCCTGTTCCCCCTTACCTTTTCATAGAATCCCTACAGTGAAGAAACAGGCCTCTTGGCCCAACAAGTCCACACCGACCCTCAGAGCATCCCACCCAGGCCTATCCCCCTATAACCCACCTAACTTACATATCCCTGAACACTATGGGCAATTTAGCATAGCCAATCCACCTAGCCTGCACATCTTTGGACTGTGGGAGGAAACCCACGCAGACCCAGGGAGAATGTGCAAACTCCACACAGACAGTCACCCGAGGGTGGAATCGAACCCAGGTCCCTGGCACTGTGAGGCAGCAGTGCTAACCACTGTGCCACCGTGCCACCCTTTTGATCCTGTTAGCCCTAAGAATTATATCTAACTCCTTCTTGAAAACACTCAATATGCTGGCTGTAACCACTTTCTGTGGTAAAGAATTCCCCAGGCTCCCTACTCTCTGGGTTCGGAATTTTCTCTTCAACTCAGTCCTAAATGGCCTATCCCATATTCCTAGACTGTGACCCTTGGTTCTGGACTCCCCACACTTACATTCCTGCATTTACCCTGTCAAGTCCTGTTAGAATTTTATAGGTTTTTACGTGATACCCATTATTCTTCTAAACTCCAGTGAATATAGTCCTCACCAATCCAGTCTCTCTTCATCCCTCAGTCTATCCTTCCCAAGAATCAGTCTGGTAGACCTATTTTGCACTTTGTCCATAGCCAGAGCATCCTTCCTGGACATTACTGCACACAATACTCCAGGTGTGACCTCACCAAGGCCCTGTACAATTGCAGCAATCCATCCTGCTCCTGTATTGAGCTTTCTTGCAATGAAGACAAACATACCATTTGCCTTCTTCATTCCCTGCTGCATCTGCATGCCTACTCTCAATGACTGGCGTACAAAAGCACCCAGATCTCATTGCAATTCCCCCTTTCCCAATCTATTGCCATTCCCCCGCTTTCATTTCCATTACTGTGGAACCTGCCTTAAAAAAATGATCTGGACCAAAGGAAATTGGCCAGGCTTGGGCAGAGAAATGAACACTTTTTTGTGGACTCAACATCACATTCTGCAGGAGTGGAAAAGATGGGCTCCTCACCTGTGGTGTCAGGGTCACAATCTAACGCAAACCTCTTGTAGGCCAGGGATTGAAATGTGGACTAGGTCTCAATGACACCTCTGTGGAGATTGCAGGCATCAACACTGGATGGATGACCCTCACCTGGGAAAGGCAGTGGGGGACAGTGGGGGTAGATTCAGGCTACTATCCGAGGTAATGGTGCCATGTAATCCATCCCCTTTATGCCCAGTCCCAGGGCACTTAAGTAAATGACCAGCTAGTGACTCAGGAATTTAGGAGATTCACCATATCCTATTGAGGCAGACAAAGCACATGCTTTATGTGTATTTTTATCATTAGGTTTTCCTGGAACCAGATCATCAGAGACTGTAGCTTGAGGGCCATTGTGTGTATCAACCAGGAGACTCTCATTCTTACCCCTGCCATGGTAGGCATATTGGAAGGATTTGCAGGTTGATAATCAACTTGTAAACCACAAGCTCACGTACAGCGTCACTCAACCATGTACTGATTTTCACTCCTGGCTGTTGAACATGAACAGAAATGCAAACAGACCACTTTGCAAATAGCTTCAAGAGATGGTCTTAACCACTGCTCTTATTGAGCTACCTCCAGGAGGCGCTAGAGGCACTACTCCAGAGCTGGATCCTCCTTAAATTTATCATCAGGCACAATGTATCTAGCAGCAGCATATGTTCACATTCCACTCCACCCTCTGGAAACTTCTGTTCACCCAAAGGTCATCTCCCTATATTCGTTAAACTCTATTAGCCTCAGTGCTTACTTTCTCCTGGTCCACAAAATGCTTCAATTTTAAATTCCTCCTCCTTGTGTCCAAATCCTACATGGCTTCAGTACCCTTTTTAATTCAGTAACCTCTTATT